TTTTTTTTTTTTTCGTTCTATTATGCATTCAGAAAGATCAAGATTCTTGTTGTGCAGACCCATCCGCCAAGGTATCTGTCTCTGTTTCAATTTATGTCAAGCTAGCAGCACTTGCATCGTTTTAGTCTGTAACTATGTATGTTACAATCTCTTTACATCTCTATGTAAATGCGCAGTCTAATATATAAAAATATGTAATGATAGCAAAAGGTCTGAGAAATTGTAGTATCTTAAAGTAACATTTTGCAGGTCACCTATATTTCATATTGTTCATCCCTATGTCTTCTTGTGCTGTGCATTTGTTCGAGTCGTTACTAAGCGACAGGGTAAGATCACTTTTATCTCCACTAATGTCGGGTGGTTTGCAAGTTGCAACTTAAAATTTGATTGAGTATTTTGTTTATAAAATGAATTGGAGTAGTAATATTAACTTTTAGCACAAACTTTTTGATGATTTCTCATATCAAGAAATACAGTATTGGATTTTATACTATCACAAGGTGAAAACTTGGACAGAGTTCAAAGTAATAATACTTTAGCATTGATACAACAATTTATGAAACATGCTTTTAGATGTTAAAGAACATTTATTTAGATTAGAAGGTCATGATATCAAGTTTATAGCCGAGTAATTTCAGTAGGTTACATTTTAATAACTCGTGTATCCATATTGATCTATTGTAATACAAACAGAAAGCACACTAACACACACACACACACACACACACACCAACAACAACAACAACAACATAGCCTTTTAGTCCCAAACAAGTTGGGGTAGGCTAGAGATGAAACCCAAGAGAACCAGTAGTAAGAGAAACACAAAAAGGGCTCAAAACAAAAGGAAGAGATTGGAGCAAAAGAGAAGGGAGCAAAAGTCACGGTTAAGTCACTCCAAGACGGCCTTTTATTTCCTGTAACATGTTATTCTGTAGCATTTGAGCTGTTTGTAGTTGCATCAGGACATAAAATCTAAATTTTATGTGATTTTCACCGTAGCTCCCTTTTTTTAATTCCCATGATTTCGACTTCACTAGTGCATATTAATATTTGAATGTGAACACTGACATCATATATCTATCGAACTATTAATTCTTGCTTTTGGAAATTATTTTCTATAGCCTGATGGATCATGATCTGAAATTCTCATCTATGTACAAAGAATGCAAGAACGAAAAATGGAGGTGATATAAGAGTTACACACAAAAGCTGCAACATGCTTACGCACAATTGGAGATAAAAAATCAATAATAAAGAGATGATTATTTATGATAAACTTCTTGCTGTACTGTTTCTCATTGGCTGCACTTATTCCTTTAACTCAGTTACCTATTTGTGAACCCAAAATGCTACTGCATTTTGTTTCTACAGTTTTCTCTTATAGATAGCCCCCACAGGGAACAGACTCCAGTTATCTAAAATCTTGCATCACTTGATTTGTTACTTACCGAAAAGTATGCCTGTCTTTCTGGGAGCGTTTTCCCTCCCCTTTTAGTTATAATATAAGTGTATAAGCCATTACGGTAGTGTTCCAGAGAGCCACCACCTTGGTTCTGCAAAATCTGTACATATATATGATCGAGTTAACTCATCACTTCGTGAACCATGATTTTCTGCTGCAGGTGTACTGTACACAAGAGAACGACTGTTCTACTGTAAATACGACCATGGTTTTGAGGACTTTCTACTAATGTTAGTGTTAGTGTCTATGATGGGTTGATTCACCTGCAAAGATATGTTGCATAGCAAAATTAACGTGCTTCTAAAGTCACAAACTTATACTAAACAAAGTCAAATTCAATTCACAGTATCATATTAAGATGGAATTGAAATACATGGTCGTCTCTGGAATATTTTGAATGAATTTCCAATTTTCATCGTGAAATCATACTTCTATCTAGTTTTGGTTCATTAGATCACATAAAATGTGGTTTCTCTTGAATTGTACCAGTTACCTCTTCACCTGTATCTCATGCGTGATCTTCACCAAAAGCTGGTGTGCTCAAATCCCTCAAGAAAACAAAACTCAGCAAAAGGCTCCAATGCTTCAGCTGGATTGCTTGGACTGCAAACCAATGATTTCATAAGAAAGATACTACCTTTGTTTCCATATCTTAGGAGAAACTTTGACAGTGCAAGACACATTCTTAGAGAAGGTCAGTGAACCTTTTTGTTGGCAAAATATGCTGAAAATATGCACATTTTTGTCTAACTGATAATGCTGAAATGTAGGTTCTGAAACTTGTCAAGAACACTGGAAAGAGCAGTGTAGATTGGCTGCAAACCCAGAGATCGTCAACCTGAGTATTTCTGCATCCCCAGCCCTGACTTCTATTTCAGTTTTTAAAGAGACACTTCTCTGCTTTGGAAAGGTGATTCTGACTTAGCTTCAATCCACATGGTTTTTCTACATCACTTGGTGCTGTTTAATACATTCTATTAGATATTTTCCTTTTGTTTTGTGACACCCTTAATCCTTCACTGTATTTTGTTTTCCAAATTATAGAACTTTTTTCGTGCTCGGGTTTTCTTTTTGTAGATGCTTCATCTGCCAGTATTTTTGAAGGAGAAAACCATCCTCTCAGGTCTTCTCCAGGCCTTCCAACCAATGGAAATACCTGATTGCTTTTTCCAAGGACTAGAACAGGTTCCTTCACCGGGGAATATAGACTATTTATATTGTGGTGCTTACAGTTTCCTTGGAGCTGTCTTTGATGTGGGTATGTCGTTTCCCCCTTTATTTTATGACATTTTAATGTATAGGATTTTTATTGTAAGAATTTAGATTATATACTTCATTTTTTTGGCAGAATTCGAATTCTCTTTTACACTCGCTTTTGAGGTCTTGCTGACTCTAGAGGTAATCATTACGTCCATTCGTATGATCCTCGGTGGATCCATATGCCAAAATGGAAAGGAAGCATCCACAGGATTTAACAACGAAATTGTACCCTTTCTCTGCAACAAACTAGAGAGTTATGCTGAAAATCTCTTAAAGCACAAGTGTGTCAAGGATGATGTTGACGGTAGTTCAAAAACGAAAGTGAGTTCAACTGTTTGTATTTTAGACATGATTGGTTTCGTCGACAGGATATATTCTTGGTATGTCAAAAGCTTTAGAGAAACCAAAATTATTCTACTTATCATCGCAGGGGGAAATGATCCACAAGATACTCCGTCTCTACTTGGGGAACTGCCAATCAACTTCCGATACGTTGAATAAGCTTGCCCGCTCTATTTTACCTAAGGTGCCTTAATTTTTTAGTGAAGTCTTATTTGTGATATATATAAACGCACACATACAGAGAGGGAGAGAGATTATCAGTTTCTTGTTTGAATCGCGCGGTAAGGCAACTTGTCTAAATAAAACATTAGGCGGCAAAGACAAAAATTGCGTGCAGTTTAGGAGGCATAAAGAAAGTGTAGGGAAATATGATGACTGTGACCTCATAGTTCCATGTGGTAGTCATATTCCCCCCAAATGGTCAGTTAGCTTTGCTGAAATTGGCCATTGGGAGGTAACTAATAGAAAAAAAAGCAGGTTAGTCAAAACCTCGTCCAACTTCAAGAGCCAAAATATTTTAATTTTAATTTTCTCATGTAGAATAAATATAATTCAGTTTATACAAATGTAAATAATTTCCTTTTTCTTTCAAAATATAAAAGCAAAATACACCTAGAGACTCGTCTGCCCTAGTTATAGGTCAAAAAACATGATATTCTAAATGTAAATTATCTAGTTATGAAGTTAAAAATTAGAAAATAATTTACAAAATATATATTTAAGTATCATAATTTAGCTCAAACAAATAACAAAATTGACAAAAACATTATCTATAACAAAGTTTATTTTTAATTTGCTTATATATGAAGATATAAACAACTTGATATTTGAAATAAGTAAGTGTACATGTATATAAATCTACGCACGTAGTACAATGGATCAAAGTTATATCATGTCCTAAGCTCCTAAATTATTAGATAAGTTTCCTGGTTCATAGGAATTGTTTTACAAAGATGATCTCAAGCACACGTATCGAACTTTGCAGTGCCTATACGTGTTCTCATTTAAGTCGTCGACTGTTCAAATGCATATACTTTCGGGTTAATGAATCAGTTGTCAGCCACCATATTCATGCTCTTTTGTGACTTTGTTCTTGAGCAATAATTTGAGGGTCAGGCTTGTTAGAAGTTATGTTTGTCCCACGTTGATTAGTTGCTGGGCTGTTATTGTGTATGAGTGTGTTGGGTACCCTCTCCCTTGAGCTAGTTTTTGGGGATGAGTTATACACAATTCCCATTTATCATGGTATCAGAGCAGAGTTTTGTTTGTTTGGAGGCGATATTGGGTTTGGACCCTACCCATTTGGTTTGGGATGCTGCTTGTGAGAGCGGGTTTTAGAAGATATGTTTGTCACACATCGATTAGTTATTAGGCTGTTATTGTGTGTAAGTGTGGGTTGGGCACCCTCTCCCTTAGAGCTAGCTTTTGGGGATGAGTTCTACTCGTGGCCCATTTATCAAGGCTTATTCAATTTAATCCTAAATTGTTATATTGGCCCCAGATCACGTCGCTTTAATTTGCATTAGGTATCTTCTTCTGCAACTGCATTAGAGGGTGACAATGATGATGAGACTTTTCCTACACTCTGCTCTGCAACAATAATGGTCTGGTATCGAGTAATGGTAAGCTAAATTCCATTTTCCCTTTTTCTTCTTCTTCTGGAAATATTTTAAATTAATGTTGAATTTAATCATAAATATTTTCCTCTTCAGCTTGAGGAGAACATTTCCACTCTCATCAGTTTGGTAAGTAGCTTATTCCACTGAGTAATGTGTCAATGAAAGAATGAACTTGGTAAGTTCGTTTTGGGAGAGACATGAAATTATCTGAAGTTTGAGTATTTTTTGCTTAGGCTAAGGAAATTGCATCCCAAGAGAAGCCAAGAGGTGGTCTCAAAGCAGAAAATGTAGAGAGTTTCCTCGAGAGAATTGTGCAGTCTGTAGATGTGTTTGTATCCTTAATAAATGTGTGCAGAGATAATGACAAGGTGGTTTCCTTGATCTTTTGGTTTTGATGCTGTTGTAAGTCCATTGTATCTCTGACAATTTACGTCTGGTGAATTAGGTGAGTGTTCATGCAATGGCTGTTAAGTACGGAGGGAAGTTCATTGATTCCTTCCTTAAAGGTAAATCTAATTTTTTTCTAAAGATATTGGATACAAGAGAAGATCATTCTGACCCCATACTTACATATTCCAAATACCATCCTGAACTTGGTGTATTTTACACCTAGTAGTAGTAATGATGGGGTATAAAAGGTAATCTGTTTTATTTTGTTTATCTGTTTGATCTATTTAAGAGGGTAGATTGAGTTGGCATCATAATTATAACATTAAGTTCCGTTCCAAGTGATGTTGTATTATGATTGTCTAGTAAGCCAATTTTTTTGCTCTCCAGTTTTTAGTTTCTTAAAGGCCCAGTTTCAGATGCACAAGGACCTCATTCTTAATTTGGTGAGAACTGAGAACTTGGTATAGCAGAATTTTATTGATCAGAACACTCTTTATACAAACGGCTTTAACAAGTTTCTTGTGGGTATTGTCCCAGATAAGAGAGCTCCAGAAAGCAACAAGGACCATTCAGACACTATGTTCAGAAGCAAAGGTTAGCTTCTTACACCCATATCTGTTATCGAACTATGTTTGCTTTTTTTTTTTTTGTCTATTTACCGTTAGACCTGCTTCACGTAAACTCTTTTGCTTCCTCCAAAGGGATCAAAACAAACTGCTATAACTGGAAAAATTCCCGCCACAAAGAGATCTATGGAACGATTTCTGTTTCACGTCAAGGCTCTTCTTTATGAAACCCCGAGTGGATGCTCGTTCTGGATGGGTAAAATTTTAGAGCTTTTTGTCTGTGATCTACGAGCTGCAAAGTAATCGTTTATTTAAACTTGGTCTTTGAATTTGTCAGGCAATCTAAAGCATAAGGATTTGATGGGACATCTAGTTAGCTCTCAAGCATACTTGGATACAAATGATGATGGTACCGATGATAATCACGCAGAGACCATTATTGAAGACCGGGACAATCCCCCAGAAGCTATTGTTGAAGATCAACCAACGAGTGTGTCCAGTCCATAAAATAGGAATTGGATATAAAAGGTACAGAGGGGTTCTGTTGATGCTAATCTTAATATGGTGATATGTGATGGGCAAAGCTTTTAGATTTGTTCATCTCCTTTTGGTGCCACGACAGCACAAATGAATGGCGAGAGTCGAACCATTCCCATGGACACAAAAGCAGTAAAGTGATTTGTGTCAGATATTTGCAACATTATGAATTGGAAGCTGGAATGTGAATCTCTTTGGGGTGAATGCACTATATCTGGAAATTATATATATAATATATGTGTGTGCATCCTCCTAAATATGGTCATGAAGGTCGATCACCCATTGGCTTTCTGTAAAACAGAAATGAAAAATAACAAAAAAAAAAAAAAAA